TTTTTTTTTTTTTTGGTAACAAAGAGATACAACACTTGTTAACAACAACCAACTCTATTTCTTTTATGAGTTCCCTAATCTCATCTCCCTCTCAAGCTCATCAAATTCCCATTCACTAATTTCTTCTGTCGTGTAATCCTTATTTATATTTCCAACTTGAGACTCCAGTTTTGCCAACTCTGCTTCAGGGTCTAACATCTGCTCTGATTTAAGAGGTGGCGGCTTACTGCCATCATTGTTCCCAGTAGTAATCTTTTCTGGTTGTTCTGTAATGGAATTCGTAACCCTTCGGATGTCTGAGGTTTCACAAGCATAAATAGCAGCCTCTTTCACGGGATTCTCAATTTCCAAATTAGGCCTCTCGATTGATTCGAATTCCTCTCGTAGCTTCTCAATGTTGTCGAATAGCACTTTTACCTTTGGATTCTCTTTACTGAATGAATAAGTGAGAATAATCAATAGTCCTTGCACATTCAGTATGAAGTCTCACAGAAATTACATAGAAAATAAACGATGAGTTCAGGCAGTTAAACCTGGAGACCTTTCCCTGTTCAGCATAGAACTGCTCCCTCATGTTGTCCACTACGCTGAAAGTTGTAATTGTCTATGATGAAAAAAGTAGAGTACATTAAAGTTTATTAAATATCAGATTTTACAAGCTACTCTGCGAATTCCAAATCTTGATCATAGACATACAAAAGGCAATAGAACTCGATTAGCTTCTTAATCACCAAAAGTAAAATTTTGATGCAAGAGCATTTACTTGGGGAAGGGCTAAAAATGATTCATATAAATAATAGGAAAAAAAAAAAAAAAACACAAATTAAGACACCGTGTTAATGATTATTACTGAAGAAAAGTGCCACTTACACCAAGAAGTTACTCTTTTTACCTTAGCTTCATAATCCAGGTATTCCTGCTCAAGATGTTTCCTTGGATTCAACAACTCGGAATCATCAGTTTCCACTTCCGAAGTCGGTGTTGACCTATCCAGAGTTTCAAAACAATTAGGCTTCATTGAAGAGAGGCGTACACAATCTTTTGGGATAAAATTCAATCCTACCCTTCATTTAAGCTCTTTAAATTCTCCACAAAGTTTCCGATGCGATCAATAGATGGTCGCAACTCTTTCTGCATGAAGAGAGAGAGAGAGAGAGAGAGAGAGAGAGAGAGAGAGTCTTCACAAGTCAAAAAGTACTATAAGAACTAAATAGTATCAGACTCAAGTGTGAAAACAATTAAACCACCTCAAACGAGGAAAGCAGCTGTATAACCAAAGCTGTGAAGTAATCTTCATGTCTCTCCAGTTCAGCACTTCAACAAAGCAAACATGAAAATTTAAGTAAAGAAGTGTAATATAAACATATTCGGGATAAGAGATTTCCTTCCAGCTCACCAACAAAGTAAATCCAAATTTACAAACACACCTGGCTTCTTTTTCCTTTGTCTCCACATATGACATCTGAAGAGACCAAGTATCTTCCAAAAAATTAATCCATGTAGAAATAACATCTACTTCAGCTCGACATGAATCAATTGATCTTGCTAACTCGTCCTCCTATAAAGTTTTATCATGGTACTTATCAACATGATTAATTAGTTTACAGAGAGGAAGAGAGAGAAAGGATTAGAGGAACATCAAGGAAAAGGTATATCTGACCTTTGTTTTTAAATGGGCAACAATTTGATCATTAGCTTCAAAAAATTGATCCCTCTCTTCCATTACATTGCGAAGACGAGTTTTAGCAGCAGACAAGGAGATATTGACCTTTTCCATATTAAAAANNAAAAAAAAAAAAAAAAAAAAAAAAAAAGCGCTCCATCAGAGATTACTATTGCGCCAAATCATAATTTAAAATGCATCAATTACGTTCATGCAGAATGAAAAACAAATTACTCCAAAAATTTCATTGACAAATGGATATAATTTAAGATTTCGTAAAATATTTACTAAGGGCAACAGAAGGGTAAAAAGATAGAATGCTATACACGTCTATGTATTAATTATCAAATCTCAAATTCAAATAATCAAACATTACAAATTTGTATTAGCAAAACCATCCCAACATGTGTCTGAGAGGGGGACGGGGAAGGATGGGGGAGAGAGAGCGAGAGAGAGAGAGAGAGAGAGAGAGAGAGATTCTTTCAGGATATCTCATTATTTTTACATAAATAAACTTCAAAACGCACAAGCTGACTTTTTATGTTATCGTTATCGGATTGTGCAGGTGCGATTTTTCCATTTAGTTTATGATAAACCTGTCCTTTTCTTTCTAACGTTCATTTCCTATTCTTTTCAGGTCTTTCCTTTCTTTTTCAATGAGATTGAAAGATTTCCTATTTTCTACACTCCACACTGGGGTGCACCTAAAGGTCTTCAATGTGCTTGTAAGCTTCAAGGAACTGACCCCTTTCTGCACATCCATATAGTAACATTCTCATTTCTCCTATGCTAATTAATGTTAATATTTAGTCATTCATTTGTCCATCGTTTGGCATTGTAAATACGTTTCTTTAATATTAATGGTATATTAGTGTCCAAGCTTATATAGAATATGCACTGCTTCATTTATTCCACAGCACTCGATCCCCTTTATTCTCTTCAAAGGTCTTTAAAGGTAGAATCCAAATATTTGAAGTTTGACGTATTCACTTCATGATGACCAATTCTCACTTTTGTCTCTTTTTAATTTTTTATAAAATGAAAATTCATGAATCAAGTTATTTAACCCTACAGATGGTACGAACTTTTGTGCTCTCCAAAATCTAATTTGGTACTGAATCCCTCTCATTGACTCATATGCATAGCCAAGGGGTAAAAGGGAAAAGAAAATCATCATTATCACATTCCTATTATTTATTGAGTTAAAGAGGATACACACCTTTGATAATTGAGCCTCAAGTTCCTCTCGTTCTTTCTCAAGCCCAGATATCTCAGCATTCAGTTCCTGACAATCAGTAATTGAGCATAATGTCTAAGCATATCTATCATGCAGCAAATATGCTACACATAATTTAAATCTAATTCCCAAAATTGTGACACAGTTTAAACGATCTCTTTCATTCTTCCAAAGAAATTATCAAGCTTTAAAGACTTCCATCGTTTTTGGTATCCCAATAAATGGCCATTTTTATGGAAGTAGCATATCCAATTATCTTAAATTCAAATTAAACGTTTGTTTCTTCGCAAAGACCAAAATGGCTTTACTAACTAGAAACGCTCATGGCATCTCTTAAAAGACATATATGGCCTTGACCTCCTAAGGAAGTCAAATTTCATTAGAGGACCAACCTTTGTGATGGAATCAAAATCTGCAATTTGTTATTCCTCAGTTGTTGAAGTCATGCATTATTGTGTTTCTTCATTACATAATCTAGAGGAAGCCTTCTACAGGAATAAACTGATCCATAAATACTTGGAAAGCCATGGAGACCACTTTGATAAGAGTTTCAAAACAGTGGCTTCCCATTATTCAAACCAAGACGCCACTTTGGAAAGTGTCACGTCACATGTCGATTATGGGATACAAGTTCCCTCTCCCTAACTCAACTCAGTTTGTGTGACCTTTTGCATTAGGAGTACTATGAACAAGAGGACATACTCAGTTTCTTGCTGTAATGGAAATGATACGAAAAGAAGCCATCATTATGCCAATTTTAATTACAGGCATCTCCATTGTTTTCTATGTAATATCCTACTTCTTCTAGCACAGATTGTAAGTAATTCATGGACTTTTATGGACAAATAGCCAGAAAAGATTGGGCATCCGACTAAATTTGGGTGTAAAAGAATTCAGCTCTGGGTGGGGAACCATGTTCGAATTTCTTGGTTCACGTCAGGTACGGAAAACCAGTGTGTACTCACATTTAAAAAGAGGCCAAAATAAATTTTACTCTAAGCCCCCTTTTAGGAAATGTTCAACCGCATGGTTGAGTTAGCGCTAATGTGGAGAGATTGATGCAATAGTATAATGCTGAAAACCAATTCGGAAAACCAATTCGTTGCAGGATTTTTTATTTCTTATCCTTGTTTAAGTTCCTTATTGTGTCACACTTTAGTTTGCACACTCCACTAAAGTCATTTATATATTGGCAATTAGGTGGTTCTGCTCTAACTGAGTTTGCTTTAAGATCATAAAATGCTGTCAAAGCAATATCTTGTAGTTCGTTATTTTGTTTCTCCAATCAGTTATCCTCCCTTAGATGTATTGTTATCCAACATCTGAGTTCTCGTACATTCTACCAAAGGCCCACATCGACTCAGACCTGAGCATTAATGTTGTAAAACAATAACATATAAAGCCGATCTCAAAAAAAGGACTTCTGAGTTGTATTTGTGCATCCTAAGAATTACATTGTGAGAAATGTAGGCCGTGCTTGTGTTTACTTTTTTTCTTTTATTTTTCTTTTTCTTTTTAGTTTTCGATTTCTCTCCCTATGCCTGGGAGCTCATAGATCACAGAATCTGTAAACACAGTACCTTTTCAATTTCACCAACTTCGCTAGCTTTGCTCACTCGGAACTTCAAAGCATCTTCTTTCTGAAGTCTGCCGAAGAATTAAGGAAAGAGACTCAATGTAATTTGAATTAGCAAGGAAATCAGAGATTGCTAAACATACAATGTATGATCTGTAACAGCATAGATTATGTAGTTACTCAATATTTCTCCATGGAGATACAAAAGTGCAGTAAAGACACTGCATCTGATTAAATCAAAACAGCACATTGTAGATATATAGATACAAAGTTTTATGCGCCAATTAGTACGCCAAATTTCAGTTCCATTTCAACTGATGACCAAGAGTCCATCTTCTTGCATTAGTGTTTTCTGAATGATCATAGCTGTTAAATAGAACCCACATTTATACACAATAAAAGCTTATGGAACTCGAACATCCCTCTTGAGCGTTAGTGATAGTGATGTGGAAGAGGTTATGGAACTCGAATATCCCTCTCAACCGATTGTGAAAGAGCAATCATTCCAATTTGTGACCAAGAAGAACAAAGCCTCGAAGCATGTTGGAGGCTCAACCCAAACGGGGCCGAAACCATCCTTGAAGGTAAAAGACACCATAAGAATTCTTATGAGAAGAGATCCGGCAAAAACTAGCACATTGAAGAAGGGGGCTCTCCCCTCCTCCAAACAATGATAATCGCCGCTTGGAATATTAAGGGCTTCAATGCGACCCTAAAGCAAGATGAGGTGGCTAGCCTCATCCGGAAAAATAAAAATGATGTTTTGGGACTCATCGAGACGAAAACGGATCATTGTCGTCTCTCTCGTTTTGTGCACAGCTGTCTTCGGGGATGGTTGTTCTGTTCAAATTTTGGGGTCGTAAGTCATGGACGCATTGCTATACTATGGAACCCAGACAAAGTGGATCTATCGATTGAAGACACCCTTCCTCAATCCATCTCGATCACACTCACAAACAAGGTTAGCAATTATAAAGTTTTTGTTAGCTTTGTTTATGGACTTCATAGTTGGGGGATCAAAAGCAACTATGGCGGGACCTTTAGAGCTCTAAGTCGAATGTTAATTTGCCTTGGCAACTTATGGGGGACTTCAACATGGTTCTCCGGCCGGAGGAAAAAAAATAACGGAGAGCCCGTCTCAAGCCGGGACATCATGGACTTCGCCGCTTTTTGTGATACTCTTGATATTGTGAATGTCCCTTCTCCCGGCTTTTTTCACACTTGGACAAATAAATCTATATGGTCCAAGCTCGACTGAGCTATGGTGGACAACCGTTGGCTACAAGAGGACCTTTTATGCCAAGCTACCTTCCTTGCTCCGGGCATCTCCGACCACTCTCCGTGCTTTGTCTCTTTATTTGAGCACGCTAGGAGGAAGGGGTCACCTTGGCGATTTTTCTGTAAGAAACTGGGGGAAAACGGGTGTTGTCCCACTAACATGAAGCGCACCATGAGAGGGAAAACCCATATGAAGACCAAGTGAGGTTCCATCCCAAAATCAATTGGTGGAAGGAGTAGCCCATTAGACTTATAATGGGTCTATTTTCCATGTATGAACGATGTGGAACAACTCACAAATGATATTCTAACACGTCCCCTCACTTGTGAGTCCTTCGGAAGCTCAAGCCAAACTGGGTTGGGTGCCCCAGCCTACTAGAAGCAGACTCCCATAAACGGGTACGCGCACGGTCCCAATAGAACCGGCTCTGATACCATGTAAGAAACTAGGGAAAAACGGGTGCGGTCACACTAACATGAAGTGCACCATGAGAGGGAAAACCCATATGAAGCCCAATTGACGTTTCATCCCAAAACCAATTGGTGGAAAGAGGAGTAGCCCATTAGACTTATAAGGCAGGGTCCATTTTCCATGTATGAATGATGTGGGACAACTCACAAGTGATATTCTAACATTTTTAATATGTGGACCGAGCACGATGACTTCAAACCGATGGTCCGACATGTTTGGAACCAAAGGATCCGTGGAACGCAACAATTCAAATTTCCGACCGGCTAAAGTCTTTGAAATCCGAGCTATCCAGGCTTAATGCCGAGCAGTTCTCCAAAATCTCCATTCAACCCAACAATGCAAAGTTTGCTCTCAAGTTAGCCCAAGAAAAGCTTCATAACAACCCCGACAACTTGGAGGAAAAGGCTTCGTTATCTTCACTTCGGCTTAAATCTATCAATCTTGCCAAGGCGGAGAAGCATTTTTTCCAACAAAAAGCAAAGTGTCACTTCCAAATAAAGGGTGACAAATCCACCGGGTTCTACCATGCCCTTGTCAAAAGGAATAAAAGAAGAATTTATAGCCTCCATAATGAGAGAAGATGGAAGTTCGACTACAACGCTTGACGAGGTGACCAATGAGTTTGTTAGCCACTTTGAAAAGCTCCTTGGTACCAAGACTCCGACTTAGGACATTGAATCCAAGATTATCCGACATGGCCCACTTATCTCTCAAGAGCACCATCCCGCTCTCCTCGCCTCGGTCTCAGAATCCGAAATCAAAGCCGCTCTCGACGACATCGAGAGTGGCAAGGCCCCCGGCCCGGACGGGTACACCTCAATGTTTTTTCGGAAAAGTTGGGACATAGTTGGAAAATACCTTATCTCGGCCGTTCAAGAATTTTTTAGGAATGAGTGCCTCCTCAAGCAATGGAACCATACTACTCTAGTATTGGTCTGCAAATCCCCCCATGCGACCCAAGTCTCGGATTTCCGTCCAAAAGCTTGTTGCAATACCACTTACAAGATTTGCTCGAAAATCATTGATCATCGCTTAAGCTCCGTGCTCGGTACAATCATTGATGGAGCTCAAGCCCCCTTTGTGAGTGGTAGGAACATGTAACAATTGCTCCGACAATATATGCGTAAGCGGATTCCCCGAGGTGCACAATCAAGATTGACCTTCGCAAGGCTTTCGACTCTATCTCTTGGGATTTCTTGAGACAAGTTCTTCTTGGACTCGAATTCCCGGAGACTTTTATAGATTGGATCATGGAGTGCGTCACCACGACCTCATACTCCATCTCAATCAACGGCTCGCTTTGTGGCCACTTCAAAGGAGCTAAGGGGTTGAGACAAGGTGATTCGCTCTCGCCTTATCTCTTTGTGATTTGCTTGGAGTATCTCTCGAGACTCATCAACCGGAGCTGGACTAACAGATCGAATTTCAACTACCACCCGAAATGTAGTGCGCCGTTCGATTTATAGAATTTCTAGGATTATCGTATTTACAGGTTTCATTTATATGATTTATGGTTTATTATTGGTCGTGATGTTGTCAATATTTTGTACTTAAATTATATATTTAAGTACTTGATCATTTTATTTTTAAAGCGTTAGTCGTTCGTCGATTTCAGTTTAATCGCGTAAACAATCCGTTTTGAAATATGGATTTCTCCGGATTTATTTTATTTATTCGCATTATTTTTATTTCCTTATGTCTGGATTAATTGCCTATTATTATATTATTGATTGAATAATATAATGTGCCCGTCGAATTTATTTATCGTTTGCCGTTCAAATTTTCGGTTTAATCGCATAAGTCGAATTTTATCCGTTTTCGAACCGTTGTGATCCGAGCTTCGAACCTATTTTCCCAACCCTAATGCTTGGTCTATTCGGCCCTTACGGACCAACCGAATCGGCCTTATTGATCATTTTAATCGGCTCTTTTGTTAAGTTGATGGCTTTCATTATTTATTTTATTGTTTTAATTTAAAATAATTTCCTAGTGATTTTAGCAAATTTTGTGATACTTTAATCAGCTTTTTGAAGTCGAATTTGCCAACCCTATTCACGTGTATTAGGCAAGGATAAATTTTAATTTTCTTTCACACCAAGTTTATTTTCTTCCTAACGTAACCTTCAGCTTTTCACAATCTCTCACGCCGCAAAATCTCCTCTCTGAACTCTCTCTCTATTCACGTTTAAAAAAAAGAAAAAAAGATTTTGAAATCCGATCGCCACCCATCTCGGCCGCGAGCACACGACTAACACAAGGAACACCAGCGGCGATCCCAAGCCTCCAACCTCGACCTGCTTCTCGCTCAACCGTGGACGAAAAGGCCTGCCAACGAGCCATTGAGACGCCTACTTGCTCGCCATTAGTCTACCCATGCAACCGTCGACGCCGAGGCCGCGTGTCAACCGCCCGAGGCCAACCTTGCGGATCCTTCACCCTTTTCGATACCTTCGTGTGGTGAACGGTAATGGGTGGCTGAACCCTACTCCTTTACATGTGTTTTCATTGGTTTAGAGTAGATCATTAGTTATCGGTTTGAATTGGTTGGGATATATGTGATATTTATGGAGATCTATTTGTATTCAAGAGAAATCGATAGATCCTCATGTTATTTCGTGAAACCCTGGTGGAATATGGAACCTTGGAGTGTCCTTGGCATGGTGGTGAAGACCTTGGTCGATTTCAATGTGTTTTGAAGCCTATATGAATTTTTTAAAGTCGTTTAGGCCGCTGAAATTGGAAAAATCATTAAAAATCGTACGTTCAATTAAATGACTTGAAATTTTGAGGGTGATCTATTGTGTTGAAGAGGAGTGTTGTGTAAAAATTTAATGCATTAACTCGGCCTGTAGCTATATGAACTGAATATTGCGGTTTGTGCCCTAAATCATTGAAAATTAGAATTAAATAATCGGCACACCCAAATTATTTGATTTTCTGTAGTTTGGAGTCTTTTGTCATGTTGAGCATGTAGTTAAATTTTCAGAATTAAATTTGAAGTATAGGTACCTGAACCGATATTTGATGATTTTGCCCTGATTCTTTGAAAGATTGTTAAAATCTCTGATGGTGTCGTCCCTTTGGTAAAATTTTCAAATCAAAATTCGAATGATAGCTATGTGAATTGATTAATTGTTGTTGTGCCCTTTTTTAAAAAAATCGAATAAAATCATAGGGTTGTTGAAATTGAGTGATTTTCTGGGAACTAGAGTCTTTTATTGTGGTCAGCATGTGGTTAAAATTTCAAAGGAAAATTCGTTTGTAGCATATTGAATCAGAAACCATTTGTTTTGCCCTTGTTTTTACAAAATTGTGTTTATAATGTTAGGAATCGACTTAAAGGTCAATCTCTAGTTTTCTGGTCCCATTTTGAGTCTATTTCTTTTTTGTTTTTGAATGATTTTTCCAAACCTAGTCGCCAAATCCAAGTGTTCCAAACTCCACAAATTCCACGAACTGCTTAGTCGATGATGTTCGACTAGGTATGAATTCTCGTGAATAATTCTAAGTGTCAAGGTAGTATATTTATAAGAATATCTTGATATAAATGTAGGTGTCTGACGAGCCGAGCACTTAACCTACACTGTTGTTCGAGCATTTTTCTTGCTTAAGTGTCCAGGTGGGTTATTCTAAATTCATATATCATAAGTTGTTTGTTTTCTTGGATGGTATAATCAATGTATGCATGTGAACAATGTAATCTTCGATTTGTGCTGTTTCGGCCGTCGAACGGTTATCCCCGTCGATGTAATACGGGCCTAATGATAGGCAGTCTCCCTAAGACCTAATGACAGGTCATATCATTGTAAGACCAGGGCAGGGCTTTCGGCCTTCGATATGCATGTCGTTGCCCATTCGGAGCATTCGAAGATTCTTCGTGACACTAACCTCCGTACGGGGTATATGCCTACCGGTATCCCTCTCACGACGGAAATTGTCACAATTGGTCAATTTGATGCGCTCATTAATCAAATTTCGAAGTATATCAATAGGTGGAATGCTTCCTCTCTCTCATATGCGGGGCGAGTGGAGCTCATTAGATTGGTCCTTGAGGGTAGAATGCTTTTGGATGTCTATCTTCCCTCTTCCGTCGATCATTCGTACACTCATCATCCAACGATGCCAACATTTTCTTTGGGGCTCAAAGATTGCGCCGGTGGCTAGGCATAACGTCACTCTTCCACGTTCAGAGGGAGGCGTAGGCCTTCGGGACGTGGATAAATCTTTGTTGGCTCGCACACTCTCGAATAATCAAGCTAAGAAAGACACCTTGTGGTATCGTTGGGTTCATCATGTCTATCTTCGACAAAAGTCCGTATGGGAATGGACTATCCACAAAAGTGATTCAACTATGTTCAGAACCTCTATGAAATCCAAAATTTAATGGTAAATGACATGGAAGATTCCGAAGACGACCTGTAGATGACCATCGTTGATCGCTGAACTGGTAGCTTCTCCAAAAGGCAAGGACCTTGCCGCAACAAAAATCCACTCTAAAAAAGATGCTTGTAATGAGAATAAATATAGTGATAATGGAGTCTCTTGCACTCAATGATGCTGCAAATGTGGATATAGTTGCTGCAAACTCGGAAGAACAAGGTGCAAAACAATATCAAGATATGAGTAAGCCTAAAAACAATGCCCACAACGTGTCCGACAGAAAGCCTCAAAGCAACCCTGCTACTGTTAAGGGGCCTTATGCGGCGCTTAAGGAGGGAAACTTGGAGAATGGAAATGTTAACCGTCTCAAGCGACCATTCAAAGAGCTATTTGCAAATAATCGAAAACCTTCCAATAGTCTCAAGCTCACCTTCACCAAATCATCGGAGGACAAAGTTAGGTTGGAAAAAGAGGATATTGATGACGTCCAAAACACTTGGGGATATTGTCTCGTGGGCTACTTTACTCATAGACACCCCGGGTAGGAGGCGCTATTGAAAATTTGCAACTCTTGGAACGTCAATTACGAATACATCCCCGACGTCAATGGGTGGATAATGTTTAAATTCTCGACGAAGGAGAATCGGGATAGTGTGCTTGAAGACCCTCCCTAAATGGTTCTGGTTGGGGATGTTGACGCTAAAATCGTGCCTATCAAGGTCAAGCTACCTTCCTTGCCCCTCCAATGTTGGAATGCAAATGCTATCGGGAAAATCGCTTCCAATATTGGAAAGCCCATCACAACCGACAAACTCACCGAGTCCAAAGATCGGTGTAGCTTCGCACGGGTCCTAGTGGAGATTGATGTTTCCGAGGAGCTAAAACATGATATTGAGGTGGAGACTCATGACGGGGAGTGTTTCTCACAAGATGTGGTATACAAGTATGTACCGCACTTTTTCCATCATTGCAAACAAATCGGACACATCTCGAAAAAATGTCATATCTTACCGGAAGAGCCAAAGGAGAAAAAGACTAATACACAAGCCGAGAAGACCAAGTCGTCCCAAGACAAAGACATCGCAAAAGCACGTAGGGAAAGCAACCCGCTACCAAGGTGGCCGATAATGTGCCAGAAACCTTCACCATTGCCAATATACATTAAAAAGAACAAGGAAGTGATGGAGGAAAAGGCACTTGAAGCGAGTTCAAAACGGGAGATTTTGCACCAAGACAGAGCCGAAGGCAAGAAACCCTTGAACGTTAGTGATAGTGATGTGGATGAGGTTATGGAACTCAAACATCCCTCACAACCGATTGTGGAGGAGCAACCCTTCCAATTGGTGACCAAGAAGAACAAAGCCTCGAAGCATGTTGGAGGCTCAACCCAAACGGGACCGAAACCATCCTTGAAGGTGAAAGACACCATTCTTATGAGAAGAGATCCGACAAAACCTAGTACATTGAAGAAGGGGGCTCCTCCCTCCTCTAAACAACGATAATCGCCGCTTGAAATATTTGGGGCTTCAATGCGCCCCTAAAGCAAGATGAGGTGGTTAGCCTCATCCGGAAAAATAAAATTGATGTTTTGGGACTCATCGAGACGAAAACAGATCATCGACGATGATGATCCCCAAGTCTTTTGGACGTCATCAATGTCCTCTTTTTCCAACTTAACTTTGCCCTCCGATGGTTTGGTGAAGGTGAGCTTGAGACTATTGGAAGGTTTTCGATTATTTGCAAATAGCTCTATGAATGGTCTCTTGAGATGGTTAACATTTCCATTTTCCAAGTTCCCCTCCTTAAGCACCGCATAAGGCATCTTAACAGTAGCAGGGTTGCTTTGGGGTTTCCGTCGAACACGTTTTTAGGCTTACCCATATCTTAATATTGTTTTGCACCTTGTTCTTCCGAGGTTGCAACAACTATATCCACATTTGCAGCATCACTGGGTGCAAGAGACTCTCCATTATCACTAGATTTGTTCTCATTACAAGCATCCTCTTTAGAGTGGATTTTTGTTGCGGCAAGGTCCTTGCCTTTTGGAGGAGCTACCAGTTCAGCGATGGTCATCTGCAGGTCATCTTCGGAATCTTCCATGTAAAGCCTTTTACCTATAGAGGGTGAAGCTTCATGTTCGGTTTGAGTTTCGAGCTGCTCAATCATTGCCTCTTGAAGTGCGTCCTCAGCCCCATACTGTTCGTGGCTTGAGCATTCATCAACAATGACTTTCTTCTTGGATTTTCCCATTGGCAGGAAGGGAGATGCGGAGTTACTGTAGCACGCTGGAATTATTGTAGCGGCTGAGATGAAGATAAGGTAGACTCTCAATCCATGCCTCAAATCTGGAATTATGTATGCCAATGAGCTCAGAATTGCGGGTGCAGCTATTAATGATTCAAAATAGCAGCAAATGCAATCGGATTTCCACAAGGAACGCTGCCAAATTCGCGAATTACTGTAGCTATTTGCGTACGAAATCTGCTCTCTAAATGCTAGAAATTGTGCTCAAATTGGATGAAATCAGGCTTCAACAGATATGGAATAGTGTATTATCATTGAAGGGTGGTGATTTATAGTGAGAAATCAATGGAAATCGATGGAATAGAAGCTCAAAGAGGTGTCAGGGCCTAAGATGCGTGATTCATAGTGAGAGATAGTCCTCCTTCTTTCTAACCCGTTCCTAACATACAGTTTATTTATTTTGTTGGATTTCTACCTTTTTAATAGGTGAAAAGGTTTTCCTCCTTTTAGACGTAGTGTAATTTTTGAATCATTTTCAGATTTTTTGTCTTCGTTATAAGATTTTGGATTAACATCACCTGTTATACATATTTGGGAATATAAGGATCCAGGGTCCCTCGTTTCTTTATTGGTCATGCAAGTAGTCACTAAATCAAGAGATTCATCAGTACATGAGCCAGATCCTGGACTTTCAATTATCTACCGGAGATTTATGTTCTTTCTGCATCTGCATCTTGTTTTGAAGGATGTTATAATGTTGAAGTTTCATATTGATGCAGATTTCAGCATTCGGTATGATACTTGTTCGTGCAAGAAACTAATTCCATAGAGATGAAAACTAGCCTCTTTAGAGCCAAATTATGAGTTGGTTATGTTCTCAGACAGAACACGATCCAGAATAACAAGGGCAATTAGATTTCTTTTGCTAATCTTGTCTTTTGTTATTGTCTTTCCCCTAGGAACATGGAAAGGAATCATAACCAGAAAAATAATCATAATCCGTATGCAGTTATAAATACCTGTTGTCAGAGATGCGCTTCTCAGCTTTTAAGGAGGAGACTGCAAGAGACTCCAACAAGACTTTCAACTTATCAACCTAAAATGCATAAAATATACTTCAGACACATGCATCTAGGCTACTAAGCAGCAAGAATTTGCTACAACTTTAATTAGACTGCTTTTAAATTTTTCTCACACAACCTGAAAAATTTCTTCTACAAGTGCATGCTATCAGAGGTCAAATAAATTCCAAATTAAGGTAATTCATAGTTAAACATTGGCCAGTCAGTTCACCAATGGCCAAAGAACAAAATCAAATCCAAACTATGGAATTCATATCTTGAATATTAAGTTTGCACCAGTAGCACATAATATTGAATTAGAATGAGAAAGTAGGGGAAGAATAGTGTCATCCGAAAACATGCACAGAAGAATTAAAAAAATTACAAGTAATATCCACGAGAAGAGAGCACCATAAGGCAGCCAATTGATTGAATAACTCAATATTAAAAAAAAATAAAATGTAAAATACTATTATAATAGGAACACCATATTATTATAGGTCCGAGATGAAATTAAAGTGCTACATTAGTAAAAGTGTAAAACTCGTTGATATATATAATATACCTTTTGGGCATGAATTTCAGCTGTGTCGCCATATTTAAGATCACTCTTTCTCAGCAGAAGCCCTTCTAGTCTGGAACAAACTCGAATATGTGCAAGAGTCTCTTTAAGAGCCTAACACAAAGAAAAATAGTAATACAACACATTGAGAATTTCCAGTCCTAGTAACATATCAATTGTTTTTCATAGAATAGATATTTCTTCCAGTACATATTTGAACACATATCAAATTAGCTTCAATAGATTTGCATGGATGCGAGAGATTTAGCACACCAACCAAGTTTACTAATACAAAGAAGAAATGAGTTGCCGTAGGTTTCTTTGTTTTCTACCGAACTTCTTATTTAAATTGACCTATCTATTGGGGAACGGGAAGGGGAAGACCATAGAGGCTAAGTTTCAACAAAA